AGGGGAGCCCTTCTTTGCAGCCTTTTAGCAGGAATCTTTCTGTGCAATCTCCCAGCCACGGGAGTCTGCTCAACAGAAACCTTCCGTTGCTTTTATCCAGCCCCGGGGGGTCATTTAACTCCGTAAACTCGCCCATCCATGTGACACCGACCCCATTCAGTTCCACGGATCCATCACTCAATTGGTTATCTCCTGCAGACGAACTCCAGAAGTTACAGGCAGCAGCCAGCATGCTTCACGTGCCACCCGCTTATGAGTGCAAGGAGTGTAGGAGGATTTTTTCCCAGCCTGACGCTTTGGGAGGACACATGTCCAGACATAGACGAGGTATGCTGGCCACTGCTTTGCATGTAACCCACTTCAAGCACAACCGATCAACTCCTTTCAGTTCTTCAATTCTGTCTGTGTGTGTGCCTGTGATTTACAGCTTCTCATATGATCATTATTGTCCTCAATATGCAGAGGAAAGGCGGAGGATAAGGCGCAAGAAAAAGGTGGAAGCAGATGCTCGGAAGGTGGCAGAAAGCTTATGTCAGCTGCTGAAAGCATCAACCTCCCCTGAGAGCTCGGGCATGGCTGAATGTCCTGCTGATGCTCTTGACCGAAAAGGGCAAAGGAGCTCCATTCCAGCCATATATATACAGGATGAGCAGCACGAGGAGCCATCTTTTCAGGCAGTCGTTGCATCTCAACAGGAGCTGCTACTCTATAGGCAGTTTCTCCACCATCGGCTCTCCATGCTGCCAGACCGCTTGCTGGTGCCTCCTGCATCAAACCTGGAGGACTATGCTATGCAACAGCATGAACCTGCCAGCCGTTCTGCAGCAGTCCAGGAGAATGGCGTGTGTGAAGTCCCCTCACCGGGTGGAATTTCTGGGTTTGCTAGGATGAAGAGGCAGGAGAATGAGTCCTTGGGAGAGATACGAGGAGCCCTTTGGAATGAGCCTGAGGGATTATGGTCTTCAGCTGAGCAGCATCAGGGTGCAAGTGGTAGTGATAGTACCAAGCATGGTTGTTCAAGTGGATCGCGCGAGCTGGACATCGATTTGAACTTGATCCCTGCGAGCGATGGAGATGTCTAAGATGCTTTTCTGTACATACCATGGCACAGTCCTTTGGTGGTTGCTTTGTCTGGGAGAGATGCTGGCTGTTTCTATATGTCCTTTCCAGCTACCAGTAGTGGTATTACCAGTCCTGTATGTAGATAAAACTGATGAGTTGGTGTTTCATCATAATTGAAATTGTAGGGACGACCGTGCGAGCGAGTCCTTCTAGAAGTACCCCCACTGTAAGGATTATCAGAATCCTTACTGAGGCACTCGTTAGCAAGGCCATCCCGAGGGTCACGCGACGAACCTGTCCTTCCTATTTCGTCGCACCGAACCACTCCCGAGTCGCCTCCGCACCAATCGCATCCATCACCGAGCCATCCTCGCCCAGCCTCCCCGCCTTGCTAGGACTTCCCCTATTTAGTCGTGCCTTTCTCATTGTATCGTCATTCAGTAATTCAGTACTCAGTCATTCTCGTTATTCGTTTTACTGCGCACTCTGCAAGTTCATTCATAACACCCACGCATAAGTTGTGGGGACTTGCATGCAAGCTACGTCAGCACAAAAGCTCCTATCTTCCCGAATCCCGACACGACACGTCTCTCGTCATTCGTCCATCTAGATCACTGGAACATCTCGTCCAATTTCAAAGTCCAATTTCCACGACCATGTTGTTCAATGGCTGCTTGCTGGTGTGTGCGATGTTTTGAAATTCGTTCCTCATTGCAAAGCACAGCTCCAGATCTGCTCAACATACCTCCCCGCTTGCCTGGTGTTGCGCGCTTCTGTTGGCTGCTTAGTAGCTTCAACGCTCGCCGCTCTTTCCCGCTTCTGGAACAAATAAGAGGGTTTCACGTCACCTCCTTATTGTCACACCTCCCTGAACGCTCTACTGCTGACCCTTGGTGGACGCCAGAGGCCTCAGGAGCTCCCTAAGTGCCCTGCTGGCAGCGGTGCCGAACCAACATGGCTTCTAAAATCTCGTCAGCAAGCACATTTTTTATCACGAGGTCGCAGCACAGTGACCATGCATGGGCGACGCACATCGCGCCGGGTCCTCACCATGTCGCTTTCACTGCAAGCATACGCAAGAAGGCGTCGTTTCGCAGCAGCTCGGGCCAAGCAAACGGCCCTGCTCTTCGGCGTGCGCTCGTGAAAGAAGCAGAACCACATGCGAATCTCGTTGCCTTGAAACCTTGAATTCCTGCTACGAATCGAGATTTCATTTTCGACCGTCTTCCTGTCACGTGATAATGGTCACGTCCCGGATTAGATTCGCATGCGCCTTCCCGATTTCAGACATCTAATCCGTCGCCACATTGCCTCGTCGCAGATCCGCGACGTCACCCCGCCTGCAATGCTCAGCCGAATTGCCTCCGAACCTGTTATTCCGACGCGCGAGATTTCTATCAGGCTTACAGCGGCAGCGTCGTCTTACTAAGTGTAGTACAGCCACAGCGTTGCCAACAGAACTGGCACCACCCTAGACGCCACCTGCATATTGCTCTTGCAGGGCGCTCGAGGAGAACTCGGTTTGATTCCCTCTAAACCACCAGCGGATTGTTGAGGAATTCCACGAACCCAGACGCTTTGTTTGGTTGGCAGCCAGCCAGGAAAATGGCTTAATTGGAACCAGTGGCTAGTCATGACACTTTGGCACTTCGTCTGACACACACGCAAGCTTCTGAACGGCCAGTTAAGAAGCGCAGCAAGCGAGTAGTAGTGTTTCAGTGCAATTTAATGTCTGATCCTTCGTTTCCTTTACCGAGGACCAATGGAGAGAACACCAGGCGCACCGGTTGAACCGTCTTCTGTTGTGATTGGCTCCTCTGCCTCAGTAGGCACCAGCGAATTCGCACGCTCTGGAGCCTTGGAACCTTCCGAAACTGTACCTGCTTTGATTCTTCCCTCGTCTGATTTTGACTGGACATTTGGAGAGACTCCTTTTGGTGCCGTAACTGAGTCGTTACCTGAATATTCGCCCGTACCACAGTCGTTGTCCCCGCTACAAGCACTCTCGCCTACGGCTCTAGCGCCGAACCCCTCTTTGGAGTGTTCTGCAGGAAATGCTACAGCTGGAGGTGTCAGCAGCAGCGGTAGCCGGCGTGCTCGAGAAGATTCACAGCTACAGCCTCATGTTGAGGTTGACTTGCTTCAGACTGAGGGTATGGCGGAAGTAGGAGAGGAAGGCGGAGGAGGGGGATGGGCGTGGGGCTTCCAGGAGGGGGAAGGTGAAAGGGAAGCGACAGTCGAAGGCAACGCCTCGGACTCTATAAGAGGTTCTTTGCTAAGTGGCAAGCAGGGGAGGGGTATGGACAAGGGTACGGAGAGGGCAACGGAGAGGAGTACGTTGAGGGGAAGAGGTCGGAGTGGCAACCGCAGGAAGCAGCCGCGCGTGTTCCCGAGCGAGGCGGAGCTGAAGCAGGCTGCTGCTGACACGGGGGAGGGCGGAGGGGTAGGAGGAGGAGCAGGAGGAGGGGGAGGAAGGGGAAGCAGTATGGGAGTGGTGGGGGGTGGCGGTCGAGAGCAAGAGAGTTTTTTCCGCGTGCAACAGCTGTCAGACTCTCCCGCGGTGCAGTGGTTACCAGAGCAGCAGCGACAGCAATATCAACTCCATCATCAGCAGCAGCAGGAGCAGCGGCAGCAGCAGTATCAGCAGCAGCAACACCAGGAAGAAGAATTGCAGCAGTTGCAGCAACAGCTGTATCAACAGGAGCCACAGGAGCTAAAGCAGCAGCAGCACCCTCAACAGCAGCAGCTGCTGCAACAAGAGGAGCAGCAGCAGGAGCAGCGGCTGGTGATGCAACAGAAGCAGAAGCACTGCCGATTTTGCGGCAAGTGGTTTGATTCCCCGCGAGCGCTGGGAGGCCACATGAACATGCACAGGCGAGGTGAGGCGGGGTGAGGCGATGTGAGGGGGGGTGAGGGAAGGTGAGGCGAGGTGATGCAAACTGGTGTGAGGTTGCAAAGTTTGTTTTAGACGTGAGGTATATTTGTCATATTCCACCGTGGCATTTACTGATTGCGTTTTGTGTAATAGTGCTTACTCTTGGTTTGCTTGACATGTTTCTTGTCCGTTTTCTTCCAACAGAGAAACAGTATGAGGATCGGCTTGTGCTGCAGGCAGGGGAGAGAGCAGCGGCAGAGATGCGATCTCAGCAGCACCAGCAGCAGCAGCAGGCTCGAATTGAGTGCTTACAGAAATTGCAGCAGGCGCTTCAGCAGCAGCAGCAGCAGCAGCAGCAACAGAGGCAACAAGAGCAACAAAATCAGCAGCAGCAACAGGCGCAGCCGCAGCAACAGCCACAGCCGCAGCAACAGCGATTGCAACAGCAGCAATCCGGCAGTGTGGCATCAACTAGGGTGCTGCCAGCTCCACCAGCGGATATATTGCTACCAGCACGACTAGCAGGGTTCATGCTACCAGCACCACTTGTGGGGTTCACGCTACCAGCGCCGCGCGCAACACCGTCAGCAAGGGCTACATCAGCAGCACAAGCACTCCTCCCCCCACCAGCTGCGAGAGCTACATCAGCAGTACAAGCACTCCTCCCAGCGCAAGCACCGGCTGAGCTGCTGCTTCCGCACCCCCGCACTCTCACTCCTGCTTTAGGATTCTCAACCGAGACGGGCAGCAGAGCAGCAGCCGGATTGCCTCCTTCTGTATTCGCTAGTATGCCTCTCGTGCTTCCTTCAGCTTGTATGCCCCGTGCTCTGTCTCCGCAGTTCACACAGCCACGGCCACTGGAGCTGCCAAATCTTAGATTCCATGAACAGGCGCCACTGTCCATATCGTCTTTGCCTCACACACCCTTGCAGCACGCAGCATCAGCCCAAACGCAGCGACAACAACAATCCAGCAACCTTTTAGCATCCGTTCCTGTACCATGCGAAAACCCCTTCCTCTCTGCCCTTACACCGGAATTCCTCGAGTCTCTTTTCCTTCAAACTCATGCTCCGGGAACGTTTGTTCCAGCCACTGCCGCCCCCACGGTCCCCACAGTCCCCACACGTTCCGCAGCTGCTACAGCCGCTACAGCCCCTCCTCCTGCTCCTGTAGTTGGCTCTGCCTCTTCATCCTGGCCTCAATTTCCTGGTTTCGCACATCCGTCTGAGCCCCAGTTCCCTTCTTCTCACCTTTCTGCCATGCTCCCTCATCTGCCTCCTCTGCTTCAGCCTCCTCTGTCTCACCCCCCTCTGTCCCACCCTCCTCTGTCTCAGCCTCCTCTGCCACAACTTCCTCTACCTCAGCTCCCTGCCCGGCAGCCTCCTGTATCTCAACCGCTGTCCGAGGGTGCTCCTCCTCTGCCCCAAGGGGCTCCCATGTGGCAGGCTCTTCAGCCGCATGGCTCTCCGTCTCATGCTTTCCCGCCTCGTGCTTTGAAGTTGCATGATCCGAGGGTTTCCCAACCGCAGGCATGGCTGCGACCACACAGGCTGGAACAGAGGCAGGGAACGTGGGAGCAGCAGCAGCAGCGACTGCAACAGCAACAGCAGCTGCAACAGCAACAGCAACAGCAACTGCAACAGCAGCAGCAACTGCAACAGCGGCAGCAGCTGCAACAGCGGCAGCAACTGCAACAACTGCAGCAGCAACAGCAGCAGCAGCAGCAGCCGCAGCACCAGCAGAAGTTGCTTAGTCTGTTGTTTTCTCTGCCATGTGTTTCAATTCCTGCAATGCAGGCAGCTCCTCAGGTAGCAGCATTTGATGCTTATAATCTCAGAGGTGCATTTGCTCCTCTGCCTGCTCCCCATGCTCCAATTTCTGCAAAATCGCCATTGCCAGCAGTAGCATTGCCACCAGCAACAGCAGCACCTGCTCAGTCACAGGAGCAGCAGCTGATGCAGCAGCAGCCGCCACCGCAACAGAGCCTGGAAGAGATTCACCAACTGATGCAGCAGCCATGTTATGAGCAGCTTGCTACAGCTCTTGGAGTTGTGAACTCCAGCCTAGTTCAGGCAGGGCAGGGGTCTGGCAGCGATTTGCCTCTGGATGAAGAGATAGGGAGGTTGGATGAAGAGATTGCGACGCTGCAAGATCAGTTGCGAGACCAGGCGCAAGAGGAAAAAGACGCATTGAATCTGAAAGAACAGAGGGTGAAAAGCTTGTTAGATGTGGGGGGGTTGTGGGATGGTGATGACTTGAAGCGTTCTCGTGAGGGGGAGAGTTGGAGTGACACAGAGGTATATAGATTCAATAGGCTCTCTATTTGCTAGAACAGGTGTAGTTCTACAGTGTGAACAGCTTGCAAACTCCAATTAACTGCTTAGCCCTCTTGATCTGCGCTATTCTGTGTCCAGTAAAAACGTTTAAATCTGGGTGAAGTTCTACAGTGTGAACCGCCAATCTCGAATCAGTAATACCGAGACATCAAGCTGCTCTCTTCCAGACAATTCATCACTGCTTGCGAAACTGGTGTGTTTGTAGCTCCCCCAGACCAAGCCACCTACATTTTTTAGAGGTATGGACACGTGTGAGTTAGCATGCCGCGTTGACAGCATGAAAGAATTCGCCTCGAGAAGGGCGGTTCGAGAGCCTTGAATCAAATGGAACGAGGCGCTCTGCTGTCACTTAGTCTTCCTCTTTGGAATGCTTCTGGTCAGCCACGCGAGCAGTGCTGTAACCAGCTGTCACCTGTTTCCAGATTCCCGCCCAGAACGAACCAGGGAGGAAAGTTCGTAGTTGCACGCGCACCGAGAGCTTTTTTGGGCATTACGAGACCCGGGCATCACTCGCTACATGCTGCCGAACCTCCAGATCGCTTTGCTTTCTGCAAGCCCTCCTTTAAGATTATGTTGAAACGACTCATAAAGTGTTTAAACGACTCATGCGGTCGGTTTTGGAACATTTGCAGCGGGTACGACCAGAAGGCACAAAAATGGCAACTGGGCGGCACAAGGACTGGTTGTGGACATTTTGCAGCACGTACACGAAGGAAGGCGGGTGTTAGCATAGGCTTCTTCTGAAGTCAGCACGAATCTTGTGTGACTTTTCGGAAAGCGTGAAGATCACGTTCTATCCTGGGTGACTCGGCGTGCCTGCTCAAAGATCTGACGTCGAAATGAAGCCGACCGGTCCGTACCTCGCTGACGCGCAGCCCCTTTTTTCCGTTACCGTTTCGTCTCTCCCCTGTTTCATTGTCTGTGACCCTCACCGCTACAAGGAATAAGGGCAGCCAGCGACCAGGATTTGGCGGGTGAGCCAGCAGAAGTATCACGTTTCAACTACTCGCATTCACGCTGAGCTACTACTGCCTGCTGATAGCTTATCCCCTTCCATGGATCAGAGATCAAACGAGTCAGCAGATTATTCCACGCGTCTCTTCGCAACCGAGCGTGTCGACCCGTGGAACAACGGCGGCCGTACCAGCAGCCTCGGCGAAACTCACGGCGGGCGTTCTTTGCCCTACAGCAGAGCCGAGTGGGCTGCAACGCTGTCGCACCTCCGAGGGGGCTATGAAATGGCGTCGTCTTTTCGGCGTGGCATCGGCAGCACCAACCCCATCGAAGGCTGCATACCGGTTGAGTCAGAACCAGCTACATGCTTTCATGGAAACGGAAGCGGTAACGGAAAAGGGCCTGAAAGCGGCGGTAGCGAGAGCAGAAAGCGGAAGGTCCGGTGGGCGTCAGTTCCGAGCGAGATGGGTGTGAAAGACGCAGCCGCTTGTGGTGAGGAAAATATGGGTAAGTCTATTGAGATTTGCCTAGATTAAAAACATGTGGATCGCTGATCTTGCAGTTTCAGATGAGTTACTTACGCTTTTGTTTTTTCTCCCCACCTTGCAGGATCAGACAATCCACGAGGAGGATCTTTGCGCCCTCATATCATTCCAGCAGCACTGCTGCCTTCTTCCCCGCTGCAAACCCCGCTTCAAGCCCAGCTTCAAGCTTTCCTCCCTGCACCAGCAACTCCTGCTCAATATCTTCCTCAGCCTCTCAATTCATTGCCTTCATTTCTTCCCTTGGCTTCAACAACTTCTTCAGCACCCCAAACTCACATCCCGTCTACTCAAATTCATTACACCTGCTCTCAATCCCTCAACCCTTCTACTCAACCTCTCAACCCTTGTCCACAGTCTCTCATCCCCTCTACTCAGTCTCTCAACTCTTGTCCCCAACCTCTCAATCCTGACCTCCACGGAAGTACGCTTGGCAGCCTTTTGAGTGTGGCTGTGCCAGCTGTTCGTACTGACATGTTGAATTCGCCTGGCATGTTGAATGGGGCTGGGATCTTGAGTCAGCAACCTTTGTCAGAATTTGCTGCCGACGTTGACTCTTCCAGACTGCAATTTTTGCGTCAGTTGATCGCCAATTGGTCCTCAGCGGGAGCTCCTGTTCAGCAGCTTCCGTTTTTTTTGGCATCAAAGACGCTGAACGCACTCAACGGTGAATCGTCCATGCTGCAGATGCAGCAAGCCATGCAGCAGCAGGGGCGGCAAGACATGAGCCAGCAGATGCAGCAACAGGTTCAGCAAGACATGCAGCAGCAGTTGCAACAAGAGACGCATCAACAGGCGCAACAGATGCACCAAGGCCTGCAGCAACAGATGCATCAAGACATGCAGCAACAGATGCACCAAGGCCTGCAGCAACAGATGCATCAAGACGTGCAGCAACAGATGCAGCAAAACATGCAGCAGCAGGGACATCAAGGCATGCAGCAACATGTTTACCAGGAGATGCAGCAACAGGTGCAACAGCAGGTGCAGCAGCAGATGCAGCAAGACATGCAGCAACAGACGCAGCAGCAGATACAGCATCAGACACGATTGCGTCTGCTGGCACTGCAGGCGCGTGCGAGCCAGCTGAGGGCTCAAATTCCGCGACTGGAGGAAGCTGTACAGCAGGATTGTACTACCCCTGCCCGGCCAGCAGGAATTGGTCGCTTGGCGCCCCTACTGCCACCTGTTTACCCATGCACAGACTGCGGGAAAACGTTTGGATCACGGCAGGCTTATGGTGGCCACGTTACAAGACACCGACGGGGTAAGCATTCTAATCACTGTCTATGGTGTTATTGTGTCTTGTATGATTTAGGGGTGGTCATTCTGGTTACGGTCCTGCTTCGTATCAGAAACTTAACTGGCCAAAGCTACACGTTTATTTTGTGTGCAGAAGCAAGAATGAAGGTTGCAGAAAAGGCAGGATATTCAAGGCAAGACAACGGCACACTGCCACCTGCACAAGCCACGTGTGGTCCTCTCCCTTCAGAGGAAGCAGTTGACGCGGCTGCAGCAGAGGAGGCATGGAAAGTTGGTGGTGTGAGTCAGCCTCCTTCCTGGCCCCAAGCTCTTTCCTCGCCGACGGGATTTACCGGGCCCCATGTGCCTGGTCTCCTGGGCCAGATTTCTTTTCACCACAGTTACCCCCCTTCTGAGGATCATGAACCTGATGAATTAGACGATCATCAGGCACCATGCAACATGGAAGCTGGAGTGACAGAGCCTAATTTCATAGGCTCTGAGCCAAAATTTCTCTACTCTTTGCTGCCCAGACCTGACTTGGAGCCACAGCAGGTTTTTCCAGTCCCATCACGGACTGATGCCGATCCATACTTTTGTGACCCCAAGTCACCCCAGGGGGACAAAGTTCCATGCCGGGCTGACTCAGGGACACCTTGTATTGACCTGAGACTAACCAGGCCTGCTTTAAAACCTTTTTCAGCCGATGGCCAATGGTTGAGCTGTGCAAAGCAGGATATGCCGAGGGTCCTCCCAAAGCAGGCTGTGGAGGATGCCATTCCTCCCATGGGGGGCATCTGTGGCTTTGTTGGGGTGAAAAAGCTGCCACGCAAGCTAGTGCAAAGGAAGCTGGAGAAAACAAGGGAGATACCGTGGACGTCTGTTGTCAGTTCTGGACATGGGCCGGGGCTGATTGCCAGGAACCATTTGTGTGATGCAAGGCAGCTGCATTTCGACTTGAACGAGATTCCCTAGGTGGCAGCATTCATTCAGCGTAGTGAAGAAGATCAGAGTTTCTTAATGCGGAGATAGTGTGGAGTGGATTGCATGTTATTGGTGATAATTACAATGCGAGCAAGTTGATTACGGACTTCCTTTATTCGTCAATTGCGATGGGAGTCCAGACAATGTACATGGGTAGCGTCTATTGCACTGCCAATCACTGAGTAATGATTCTGTCAATATGAGGTGGATGAAGTTTTAGCATGTAGTTCAGTTAAAAGAAGTATACTGTTAAACAATTTGGTGTAACTGTAAGGAAAACTCCATTTCCTTACTTCGCGTCCCCGCTCAGCGCGTACACCACTGTAGCCCCTCAGTCAGCACCGTTACCACTCGCAACTCTCGCATCGACAATCCTCCCGCCACCTTCGCACGTCGCACCCCGACCTCACGACTCGGCGGGTAACCCGCGCTCCGGGCCTCCGCTTCGACACTTTTCCCAACCTCAGTCCCAGGC